TGTTTTATAAGAAGCAGGATTACAGCTCTGTCTGTTTTTGTAAAATGTTGGGCACAGTGCCTTATGGGAGCTTAAGTAATATTTTCTTAAAGGCTATTTAAAACGGAGAAACTTACAAAGGGGGAGAGCGCAGTTCCTGGTTATGAAACATGTTCGTCAGCCTGATGCTTTAATTACAACATCTTCGGAGTTCATAGTATGTTGTCTTCATTAATCCCCAATCAGAGGTTTGAGTCACCAAAATAAATCTGCAGGATTTACGCACACAGAGTTTGTTACTGAGCGGTATGCTATCTGACACCCTCTGCCCTATAGCTGCTGGTGTGCCTCCAGCTTTTTCAAGCCAAAAGCAGAGCCCAAGATTAGAGCAACATATATTTAAGGGTGTGTTTCTTGCAGATGCTGGTTGGGACATGAAGACAAATGTAGGAGTGATTCAACGCTGAGAACAAAGTGGAAACTTCACTGGGGAAAGAAAACCTTTCTGGTAGGAGAAGTTTCAGTGAACTTGAATGCACAATGGCCCTGTCAGTTTTACCACGGAGTGGGTATACATAGGGCGTGTGTGGGGTACCTTCACAAGATGACCTGGTTGTTTTGAGAAGAGGACTTGGAAGTACCTTGGAGGTGGGAGAGATCTGGGAAAATTAGGATTTCTTCTGGACCTCAAAGAGGACTGGTGAAACCAAAGGGAAAGAAACAACCCAAGGCAGATGACAAATTCACCCGGATATTCGGGAATTAAAGGAGATTCTAATCAGATCTGTTCCTCTCCTCTTTCCGTTTGCCCAACCAGCCCTAAGCGGGATTCCCCAAGCTGCTCCATCACTCCGAGACTCGCTGTCCGGACACTCTCCTGCCGCACCCCGGAACCCGTGTCCAACTCTTCTCTGGTTGAGTCGCGCATTGCCAGCCACTCCGAGGCCCCCCACGCGGCAAACAGCACCCCTCCACTCTCACACTGGTCCCGGGCTGCGGCGTAAGGAGGCGGTAGAGGAGCCAAGTCGCGGAAAACTTCCTCCCGGGAGATGACTGGGGTCTTCGGGCTTCCTCAGCACTCCTGCGCCGGGCCACACGTCTTTCATTAAAGTGGTGTCGCAACGATTGCAGGTTCTGAGCTGCAGAGACCCTGGCGACCCACGGCCACGCCTCCCCGGCAAGGACCGGCGCCCTTTTCCACCGAAGGCCCTGGAGACACAGCTGCCGCCAGCCTGGGACTGCTGGTGGGGCTCGGCCAGAGCAGGGAGACTTTGCGCCACGATGCTTTGTTTTCCTGCCGCAGGAACCCGAGACAGTCTTTTTCTACTAGACTTAACCCGCCCCCAGCAATAGCCATGGAAGTGGCGGCAGCACCGAGCGAGAGGGAACCGCTAGGAGCGGCATCGTTTTTGGATGCTTTTTCTTTACACAGACCACTTCTTCCCTTCTTCTCGAGGTAAGTGGAACCTAGTCCGTACTAACGAAGGCGTAGAATTGAAGCCGATGGAAGGGGATTGCAGTAGCACAAAGGGTTAATGTGCTCAGTTGTTTTTCTTGGGATAGGGTCTCCCCCTCAGACTCGCCCTTCCCAAGCAGTTCACTCCAGACACTACGCAGTTTGGACTCAGTTTAGGCTAGGTGGAGGAGGGGGTGCTGGGATTAATTAATTAATTTTTGGTGGATTTCCTCCCCGCTAAGTTTACTTGTCTTTGTCTATATTCAGAGAAGGGAGAATGAAACTGGAGGTGAGAGAAAGCCCCAGAGGCGGTGATGGTGGTGGTTGTGGGAGGAGAGGAACCCACAGAAACAGAGATGATCCTAAGGGCCAAGGACTAGTGCAAATCTTGAACCCCCGCAAGGACCCCAGACCCCTGCTTTCTCACCCCAGTAGATCCACCCCAAACCTCTACCCTCCAAATTATCATCCTGCTGAGGCTTTTCTGGGGAAGGCTCACCAGGTCTCTGTATAACTTCCAAGAAAAACTGCACATTGTCTTGTGCATGAGGGATGCTCAAGACATGTTTGTTGATTGGCGAATAATGCCCCTACGGCTGTATTTTGTGCTTTGGGAATTTGCCTCGGACAGTAAACTAGTTCCCTGATGTAGACCCCAGGGCACCAGGTTAGTCCAACTCAGTTTGCAAAGGAGGGTCTGGAATCTTAGATAATATAGAATTCAGATCTTCATTACCCAAAAGAACCCATGTGACAGCTTCAGGGTCAGATTCATGGGTTCAGGGACCAGAGGAGCTCACTTGGGTTTGAATCTCTGTGTTGTGACCTTGGGTGAGTTACCTCTCTAAGCTTTAATCTTTTCACCTGTAAAATGGGACCAGTTAGAGCTTCCTCAAAGGGAAGATGTAGGGAAGATTAATGGAGAGAAGGATGAAAAGGTGAGGGGGGCATTTGGTGAATGTCTGTCTTACCTCCTCATCTTCAGAGAATTCAGGAGAGAGGGTATCTTTCTCTGTGGACACCTTTCTGACTTAGATGCAGGTAAAGACATGGCATTGCAGTGACTGGGCTGGAGCCCTCCTGCCCATGAGCAGTTAAGGGGGAGGGGGCAAAGGGAGGCTCTGGAGGCTTTCTCAGGAGCGTAGAAGCAGTGCCCTTAGGGTTTTGGAGCAGAATTTACATACATACTGGTGTCTCTGTTGATATGGCTGGAGAAGCAGAAATTCCTTTTTTGTCTCACTTCCATGTCTCATCCATCCTCTCAGCCTTCTAGTAGAGGGAAGCAAGGTGTGAAAATGGAGCCCCAGAGAAGGTGACTCTGAAGCCCCTGGATGAACCTGAGCTTGCCCAAAGGGCTCAAGGTCTCAGGGTAGCACCAGATTGGCACCAGTTTTGCCTGAACGGGGTGTGTGGAGAACTCTGGGCTTTAGTACTGGCAGCCCATAGAGCCAGTGACAAAGCACTTACCAACCCTTCCCACAGATGCCAGTGGACCTTGGCGGGTCTTGCCCTAGGACTCAGAAGCCTGGATATGACTGTGGGGGATAGATGATGAGAAAGATGTTGCTGACACAGGACTCCTCACAAACCTCAAGATGCCTTAGGGTGGCATGAGGCTCAGAGAGTAACCCCCCAGTGTAGAGGTTAGTGACATAGTAGGCAGGCTCCGGAATGAGCTGAGCAGTCACTTTCTCATTCCTCAGTAAAGGCATTGACAATCTAACCCATCCTCATGGAACTAGACAGTAAGTTCCATGAAGGCAAGGGCCATGCCTATCTTGTTCTTTGCCATGTCACCAGCACCTAGCACAGTAGTGACACATAGGAGTTCAAGATATCTCTGGAATGGACAGTGAATGGACAGGAACTTAAACTACTTCCCGTCCAACACTGCTTTATGCGGTTCATGCCTTCATTTAGCAAGTATTTCTTGAGCATGTGCTATGTGCAAGGTTCTGTTGCTAGGCATCCTAGTACTTTGTAAACATTGTTCATACTGGTACTAAGAGTGGCCCATTCAAGACCATCTCAGCCCACCAGGCTCTTCTGGAGACTGAGGTCCCATGGCAAGACCTTGCGCAGCACCCGGCGGGGGCAGTGAGAGCAGGGCTGGGGGATGCGCCAGGTTTAGCCTCTTTCTGGGAACAGGTCTGGAGACCCTTGGTACCCGTACCTGCTGGGCCCTCAGACTCCCGGGGCCGCTGCTTCTCAGAGCCGCCAGGTCTTGGCAACTCGGCTTTCCTGTGGGGCCGCCGCGCCTCTCCCCAGCTGCCTTCCTGGCCTCTGAACAGCGGCCCCAGCTGGGCTGCAGGTAGTTGGGGAAGGGACCAGGCTGCACCTGGGGAGCGATCTTCCCGGGCGGGAAGAGCGCGGCCGATGCGGATTGGTCCCAGAACAAAAGGCTCATGGCTGGCATCAGCTTCCTCTGAGTGCGCTGGGGACAAGGGTTCCGGGCTCAGGCTGGAGACCCAGGCGCGAGAGGGTGTCGGAGCGAGAAAATGAAGTGAGAAAAGAATGGGGGGTGCGCCCAGGGTGGGAGCGGTGACAAGAGGCTTGCGGCGTGGCCGCTGCGGCTCTTCCTCAGCCTCCTGCAGCGCCTTCCAGGCAGCCAAGCGTGTCTCCGGCTGCAACTCCACCGAGTGCGCCACGGTAGCCTCCACGCCTGTCCGCCCGCCGCGCCAGTAAGTAGCGGCGCGCCTGCCGCTAGCTCCCCGCTCCACCGCGGCTTCCCGGCCGTGGCGCCCGCCGCTTCCCTCCGCCTCCCGACGTCCCGCAGGAAAGTCCGCAGCCGGCCACTGCCTCCGGCCGGGCGCCAGGTGCCAAGCGCGCCAACCCCAGCTGGGCTCCGCCACCCGCTGCGCGCTCTCCCACGGTGGCGCGGCTTCTGCGGCGCAAAGCGGGGAGGGTCGCCCTCGCCGCGCGCTCCCCGAGTGCCGCGCCACTTCGACATCCAATGGCTTTCAGGGGGTGGAGAGTGGGGGGCGTCACCCGCAGGCGAGGAGCCACAGCCGGGGTGGGGCGTGTTTGCTCTGCACCGCGGGGCCAGTCTGACGTGCCCGCCTGAGCGCGCGCCCGGGCGAGTGTGTGTGAGTGTGTTTGTGCGTGAGTGTGTGCTCACACGCATTCGGGGGCTGGAGTGACACTGCGGTGGGCTTCTCCCTCGCACCCGCCCTCAGCCTGCTCTGCCCCCAACCTGCCGGCACCGCATTTGGGAAGCAGCTTGGCTCTTTAATTTTCCCGAGCCTCCTGCTCCATCTACCCCTCGTCAATCTTACTTTTCCTTTTAACCAGGGGGCTGCTTCCAGCCACCCCTCAACCGGTGCAGACACCCAAGCCGTCTCCAGTGCTGTCCTAAGCCAACATTTTCCACTTGTCTTTCTCTGGGGTTCCTCCACGAGCCAGTCCAAGGCTCCCCCATCCTTGGAAATTGTTTTGTTGGACTGCTCTACCGAGGCGTGTAAAGCTTGAGGACTTTATTATTATTTTGATTCTTTTCATTTCCTCCCCATCTGGGCAACGGAGCAATGAAATTTCCAATCGAGACTCCAAGAAAACAGGTGAACTGGGATCCTAAAGGTTGGTATTTCCCACTTTCGGCCGCCCTCGCCCTGTACCCATCTCCTGCGTGTGCGCGCTTCCGTGAGTGGAAGCACTCTTGCTCTTGGCCCCGTGTGTCCTGAGGCAGGAAAATGCGCCTGGGAACTGCAGAGCGGGTGGGAGGAGGCAGCGTGGGTTCCAAACCCAGAGAGTGCCTGTCATTATCGTATAATCATTGTCCCTCAAGGGTCTTTCAAAATGTAAAGATACACGAAACAGGCTGTTCGGCTTGAATTGCACCAAGTGTCGGTATTTGCTTTTGACTTTGAGTGTGCGAGTGTGTATGTGTGTGTGTCCTTTGTTTCTGGTGATCTTTGTCTCTCTGACAGATGGGTGGGGTGCCTCCCCCTGGACCCGGGGCTGCAGCTGCCTGCCCAGAGTGTCCTCACTGGGAAAGGTTTCCTGGCAGCAAGCGGGGCTCTTATCTGCAGCAACAATCCCTGGAGGGCATGCGGAATAATGGAGCCCGCAGGGCTTTCCGAGTCTTTGCTCAATCTTCTTACCAAACCAGGCAGCTAGTTTGGCTCCTACGGAGTATGGGGGCGGGGGAGGGGGGAGTAGTTTGTGAGAAGGGTGGGGCCGGCAAAGGCTGGGGAGGGGGCACACAGTGTGGCCACCTGAGCACTAGTGTCATTTACGAGCTCTTAAGAATGTTGGACAGTGTTCCCTCCGCGCAAAAGGAAGCAACTAAGACAGATGTGTGTGTGCCTAGCTTGGGCCACGTGTCTATAATTAGCATACAGATGCTAAGGCTCCCTCTGAGATCAGTATGGGAGCAGAATAAGTTGAAAGCTGGGGTCCCATTTTGACAAGAATGCTCTTTAGCATTTCTCTTATCTCATCTGAAGGCTGAGTCCAGCAAGAATACGCCTCTGTGTGCCTTGGGTTTGAAAAAAAATTTTTTTATTTGATTGGGGTCTTTTGATTTTTAGCATCAGTGGTTGTTGTTACTGGAGATGCTACTTGCATGCTTTTGTGTGTGTGTGTGTGTGTGTGTGTGTGTGTGTGTGTGTGTGTGTGTCTGTATGTTTAGTGTTATTTGAAGTGCATTTTTTTCTTTTCTCCACCCTGGAAAAGAGGCAACACACTCATTTATTAAGTAAATCTCTTATGAATTTACTGGGTATTGGAGAGTGAAGCAATATTGCCTATTTTCAACACTGAGGTTGTTACACCTTAAATACAACCCATGCCTTCTCCTTTGTCTCTAGATCTCTGGAAATATGGAAGTGTGCCTTGGCTGTTTTTTAAGTCTCTGCAAAACCTATTTATTGAATACCTACTACATACCAACCACTGTCCCAGGTACTGGAGATCCAGTCAGAATAACACAGACAAAAGCTCTGCCTTCTTGAAGTTTATAGTGAAGGAGGCAGACGTAAATCAATCATTGCACAGAGGCATGCATACACAGGGTTTTAAGAAAGTGTCTTATAGAAGAGATTGACAAAGATGTGGATGTGGGTCATCAGGGAAGGTAGTCAGAGACTGTATTGTGGGACTTGGAGGATATGTAAGGATTAACTGGCTAATGGGGAGGTGAACTGTTGCAGAAGAGGGAACAGCAAGTGCGAAGGCCCTGAGGCAGAAGGAGCGTGTGTATCAGAGGAACTGAAAGGAAGTTTCTATGGCTGGAGCAGAGAGCAAGGGGTTGTGTGTGGCTGGGGGACTTAAAGGGTCAGACCTCAGAGCCTCATGTTGTTGCAGGTAGGGTGAAATTGTGGGGTGCGGGAGGAGTATAATCTTTATCTTATATCACTGAAGGGTTTCAGGCTGAGGAGTGACATGATCTGAGCTACGTTTTAAAACAAGTGCTGTGTGGCTCTTGTGGATGTGAGGGACCAGATGCCATGGTGGCCTGGGCTAGGAATGGAGAAGTGAATGGAGTGGGGAGCTCTGAGGACACAAAAGCTAAAGGCTTTTAGTGAAGAGCTTGTCAAGATGGAGGAACTGGAATGACTGGGCCAGCGGCCAGAGCAGGAGCAGTGTTGAGGGGAAAGCTGGTGAGTTCTGTCTAGGACTTGCTGGGTGGGAGATGCCCTGTGTCAATCAAGACGTGTGTCAAGTGGTCAGTTATCTAAAGAGTCAGGTGGGGATATTCTAGGAACTCTGATGAGGGGGCTATGGGGCTGACTTTGTGATGTTTGCCTTGGATTTTATAATATATTTCTATATGATCATAATTCTGTACATTTATATCACAGTGATAGACACAAATGAATCTCACATGTTACATTGACACAGTGAAGAAGCATGTAAGTAGCATTTCCAGTCACAACCATTGGTGCTAAAAATGAGAAGACCCAATAAAAATAACAACATTTAATGAGCAATCATTGCATGCCAGGTGTTTTATGTACACTGTTTCATATACTCATTCTCATAATATTTATCTGAGGGTATAAGTGTTACTGTCCCCTTTTGACACTTGATTGCCATCAGGACACCACTGAGCTGCCTTCCAGTAAGGTGCTCTGACTCCATGCACAATTGTCCCTGAAGGAGGGGGTGACAATAGTCTTTCCTAGCCAGGGGGTGAAGGCGGAAGGAGTGGGGAGTGAGGGTGGCATTTCTCACACTTGTATAGAAGTATGTGCCAGGCACAGTATAGTGCTTTACATACATTAAATAAATAAGCTATTAATTAATTATTACTATTTAATTAGAAGATTAGTTGATTTAATCTTTTTTGTTTAATCTTGGGAAGAAGATACTATCTCAATTTTACAGTTGAGGGAATTAAGGAACAGAGGAGTTGAATAAATTGCCCAAGGCCACACAGATAGTAGATGGTAGGGTTGGACTAGAATATGGGCCCTTAAACACTTTTCCAGCATAACTCTTCAGTTACTCAGCTCTCCGGCTCTTGCCTTGGGAGGTCCCAAGCTCCGGGACTGGAGAAGCTTGTTGGGGAGAAAGAGAAGAAGAGGAAGGTAGAGAGGAAGAGGGTGGGGAGGAGTGAGGCAGTGAACCAGCCTTTACTACAATTCCTTTCTCCACTAGCCCTGTGGCCCGATAGCATCTCTCCTTCTTCCTGTGGTGGGCCAGTCACTGGCCACCCGACAGACTTTGGGTCTGTTCTTTGGAGGTTAGTGTTTACACAGACTGAGTGTGTTTAGCAGGGCAAAGGGGACAAAGGGGAACCTATCATTACACCAGAAAGGCGGGGGGACAGTTCACACTAAACAGTCTGTAGGATTTGGGTAGTGATAGACTTGAACCTTCAGGTAAAGGCCTCACAGGTTGTGGAAGGAAGTTGTAATTATGATGTTTTGCTTACAGCCCCATTACCTGACTATTTAATAGCACAACATGAAGGTGGGTTGAGAACAGATTGGTTATGATTGCACTTGTGTGAATGATGCAAAACACTGTCAAGAGGTTTAGGTGCAAAAATGAGACCTAGAGATAAAATGATTATTCTCTGGTGAGCTCTGGCCTTCCTCTATATTTGTAAAGCTAAGCCTTTAACAGATAGTTACTGTTTGTGTAGTACCTACACAAAAGAGATTGGCATGAAGTCTTGTCTTCCATAGTAAAACTTATGTGTGTTTTGAATCACTGGGATCTCTTGTTGATGATTTTCTGCTGAATACTGGGATTGGCTTGCTGCTTTTTATGCATATCAAGGGCTTTTAAAAAACCAATAAAATTAGCAAACAATATTCCTACAATTTGAGGCAAGCAGATCAATATGGCATAAAAAGCTCTGGATTTGGGAGCAAATGAATTGGTTTCTAGAATGAGTTGTGGCAATAATTAGCTGCGTGACTTTGGGCTGCTCACTTAGCCTCTCTGGGCTTCACTTTCCTCCCAAGTGCAAGGGGGCCATTGACATGGCCTCTTTGACTCTATCTCTAACTTCTCATCTTGATCTGAACTTTGGGCCACTTGGCTTCCTTTTGGTCCTCAAATCGGGCACACTTGTTCCTGTGTCAGAGCTTTTGCATTTGTACTTTCCATAGGTTAGTGCATGTTTGCATGGCTGACTCCTTTCCATCCTTTGAATCTCAGCTCAAACGTCAGCTCATTAGCAAAGGGTGTCCCTGTCCCATCTGAAGACCTCTCCTCTCCTTCCCCAGCCCTGCCACTTTCTGGCACTTGTCATGTTCTGAAACCATCTTACTTACTCATGTGTCACATTTGATGGCAGCATTCCTTGTTAGCATTTGAGCACCATGAGCAGGAACTTTCCCTGTCTTGTTCACTGTCATAACCCCAGTGCCCAGGAAAGTGCCAGACACAGAGTGGACACTCGATAACCTTTTGCTGAATGAATGGAAGGATGTGGGATGGATTGGAGAGGATCTCTAAGGCTTCATGCATGATGGAAATTCCAGGACTCTTCTAAGCTGCAAAGGCAAAGTACTAATAAGGAAAAGGGAAGGGTATCCCTAAGGAATGGGGTATCGGAAAGACACCAATATTCCCACTTCCTTGCGGGCTCCCCACTCTCTAAAGCCTCCAGCAGACCGTTTCTCTTCTGTTCTCCTGTTCACCAGGAGTGAAAAGACTGATGGGGAGTGATCGGGGTGGGTGGGGGAGCTAACAAAGATATGCGTGGTGTCCAATTAATAATTTGGTTCATATTGGCCATTGGTGTGTAGTTCTTTTTAGATACTTAAATCCACTTAAGAAAGAAGCGAAGTTCCAGAGCTGGAGCTGCTTTTTTGTTTTTGTTTTTGTTTTGTTTTAACTGCATTTTTAGTGCATGCTTTAACACAGAATTTCGGAGGGCCCTATATTGTACGTGGGTAGCACCTTTCAGTTTACAGAATGCTTTTGAAAAATTATATCACCTGTTCTTCAAACAGCCCTATTTTTGTTAGTATTGGAGTTTTAGATTTACTGATGGGAGTAGAAAGAGTAAATGACTTACTTGGGGGGGCCTAAGGCTGCAAACAGGCAGAACCGGGGCCAACTCAGGCCACTTGATGCTTACATCCAGGGCAATTTCTCTCAAGCTTCCTTCCCTTCCACCTTCTTTGTCCCTTCCACACTCTCCCATTCCTTCTTATCCAAAAGTGTATGCAGAGGTTTCTCTGGAAGATTTAGAGGAAAAAAGCTCTTGGTTGATCAGTGAGTCTTTAGTCGATGGCTGTTTTCTACAGGTTGTACTTGAACTGGCCACACTTCATCCCAGGAATTCCATGGAAGACTCTTGGCTCCCACTTTTCTCCTGGCTAAAAAGAGATTTCTATCTTTTGTGAATGTGAGCCATGCTCGGCTTGCAAGGTTGCTGGACCGCTATCTTTATTAATGTGTTTCCAAACTCATTTTTATAGCTTAGATCTTCTGGAAAGAAAATAATCTATTTTGATTTAATATCCAATTTGCAGGAGATCAGCTTTCCAAATGGGATTAACAATGTGCCCACATCACCACAATTATCCTCGAAAGTGAAGAGGAAAGATGTTCCAAAGATGGTCTGAGCCAAGATTTGGCTCAGGCCTTTTTTCCCAGCAGTGTCTAAGGGAGCGTCATCGTCCTTTTGCCAAGCTCAACGATCACTGGTTAGAATTAAACCTGGGTGGGTGGACTTTGTTATTCCATCCTGTTTCCAAAAACGTTTGTGCTTTGGCTCTGCATTAGTCAGATCAGACTTTTACAACAAAATACCATCGGCTGGGGGGGGGGGCTGAAACTACAGACGTTTCTTTTCTCACAGTTCTGGAGACTGGAAGTTCAAGATCCAGGGCTAGTAAGGTTGATGTCTGTGATGTCTGGTGAGGACTCTCTTCTTGGGTTACAGACGGCCGCCTTCACATGGTGGAAAGACATGCTGTGGTGTCCCTTCCTCTTCTTGAAGGGTGCCCGCCCTATTGACCAGAGCCTCACCTTCATGGACTCATTTAACCTTAATTATGACCTAAAAGCCCTATTTTTGACAGTCACATTGGGGGTTAAGGTTTCAATGTATGAATTTTGAGGGGACCTAATTCAGTCCATAGACGTCTCTATATGAGCATCATCTGAAATCAGATGCTTTTAAAAAATACAGTCCACATGTTGCCCCACATTGGAAAACTTCAACCACAACTGAAATGTGGTGCAAATGTATCTAATACAGGCATAGAGCTAGGGGCCGGCTGTTGGCAAGAAAAATGTTGTTTTGAGATAGTGGATTCTTTTTTACTTTTAGTCCATAGGGAATTAGAGAGACACAGTGTTTAATGATGAAACAGAATGAAACCGTTTTACAGATAGCCAATGAGGCGGTTTCAGTTTGGATAGCTCCCTTGGCTGAAGCAGCAAGGTGCATAAAAGTGACCATCTTTTGCCATCTTCAGATTCGTTTCAAAAGG